CAGGTAAGCCCTCGACCGTCTGGTCCGGTGCGAGCAGCCTCCAAAAGGCTGTCGCCACGGCCTCGGGGTCCCTGTCGAGGCGGGCCGCGTACCCGCTGAGCAGCCAGGGCAGCGGCATGGACCAGTCGGCGCGGGCCACGATCTCGGGGTAGCGCAGGCCGCGCCACTCGGGGCGGCTGACGGGCGACGGTCCCGGCTCGCCCTAGAAGTCGTTGACGCGTCGGATGCCGAGGTTGACGCGCAGGCAGTTGCGGATCACCTGGTTGCGGAGGTTGATGATGTACTGCCAGCGCGCGATCCAGGCCTGGTGCCGACGCCATGTGCCCCAGCCGCGCTGCCGCTCGGCCGTCGTCGTTGCGAGGAGCTTGCGCGCCGCCGTCTGGCGGGTGTCCATGGCGTTCTGGAAGCGGAGCACCCAGTCGCGGAAGGCATTGGGGTTGGCGGGCAGGTAGAGTTGGAAGGCGTTGACGAGGCCGTCGAGGCGCAGGAGGGCCTGCAATTCCTGCTCAGGTGTCCACGGGTGGAGAATGGACCGCGGGAGCTCATCCCAGGACGAGAAGATAGCGCAGACGAACTCGTCGCAGCGATTCCATGAGGGATTGTCAGGCTGGTCGGGCCAGAAATGGGTGGCAGTGTACGGGAGGAACTCCGGGGGGAGGCCTGCGGGGTCCGTGTAGCACCATGTAGGATGGTCGATAAGAGACATGCCGACGAAGTCTGTCGCCATTTCTGTGGTTCCCGAGGGGACACTTCTGCTTGCTGTGTGGCTTCTCAGCATGAATTGGTCCTATGGCGGGCGTACAGCGACGTTGATAAGTACTAACATGTAATGTATAACTGCGGTCGAGGACCTTCAGGTAAAGTAGACCAATGTGATGTTGTCTAGTGATGGGGACTGAGAGACTGGTGTCTCTTACGTAAATGACAAGGACACCGATGATGGTCTTTAAAGGGCTGTCTCAAGGGAAGCAGAGATCTCGAGGCAAAGGAAACCCCAGGTTCTTTTTTCGAAGATTGTGTTCAGAGCAGAAGAGAGTGACAGGTGTGCGCAACCGAGGAAGGATGCCCGGAGATCCGGACCTTTTTATGTACAATCCCGGCCCCTGCCATGCCCCGGCCGCCCCAGCCGGAGCGTCGACAGCCTGGCCCGGCTGGCGCCCTTCTACAAAACACTTTCCTTTCTCCGATGGCCGTTGCTGCAATGATCTTGCACTGGTTGCAACGATAACGTATCACACTAACTCGAAACTAATCCTACGTCTGTGCGAGCCACTCAAAGACGGATTCTGCGATACCCAAGCGCTTATACTGGTCACGTACAGCGTCATGAGTTCGCGACAAAGGGATGGTCATCACAGGTCATGCTTGATGTTATCATAGGCCCAAAGAAGCCAGGTCTACCTGTCATTGGTGCAACATATGTAGTGAGTAGTTGTGCGGATGTATTGCTTCAGGCCTTTCGACTTGATCTCACCGTTCTCGCTATCGGACAATCCACATTGACGGCCATGCCAGAGAATTTACTGGACACTCAGGATCTCGTCATGGCCACTTCAAACCACCTCGTCTGACTGGGAGGCTCTCACTGTCATAGACGGCTACGTGAAAATGGAGACCGAGCATCAGGGGCAGA